ACAACTGTGAAGAGCCTGTTACAAATAAAATAGTAGGTGCTCAGAAGAAAAATAAAGCTGTTGAAGGGAACTGAAAGCGGGAGATGTTAGTTAGGGTGGGCAGTGTCTGAGGAAGTAGCCCTGCACTAAGACCTGAATGAGGTAAAGGAGCAAGCCATGGGGAGTTGGGGAAGAGCATTCCAGACAGAGGCTTGATGTGTTGAACCATCTTTTCCAAGCTCTTCCTCCGTTAGCCTCTTTTCAGTCATTATGTCCCTTTTCTATCCAGACCATAATTTCACCATTTATCTTAAGGCTGAGCTCAGCGCCTATACTATTACACAGGTGGTTTACTGCACACATCTAGGGGCACCATTTACACTTGTTATCTTTTTAGGTTTGAATATTTCTTATGACAGTTTTCCAGCAGATGGCAGTAACATGCATGAGGACAGTGTAGCTTCTTTTAATTTGCACAAAGGTGTTTTTTGAGACAGAGGTCTCGCTCTATCGCCCAAGCTGGAATGCAGTGGTGCGATCTCTGCTCTCTGCAACCTCCACCTCCCAGGTTCAAGCAATTCTCCTGCCTCAGCCTTCCAACTAGCTGGGATTACAGGCGTGCGCCGCCATGCCCGGCTAATTTTTGTATTTTTAGTGGGTTTCACCATGTTGGCCAGGCGGGTCTCAAACTCCTGATCTCCAGTGATCCGCCTACCTTGGCCTCCCAAAGTGCAGGGATTACAGGCGTGAGCTGCTGTACCCAGCCTAAAGGTAGAACTTCTGATTTGCATTTAGGCACCTGTCATCTTTATCCCTCCCGCCCTTTGTTGTTTTTTTTTTTAAGAGATGGGGTTTTACCATTAGTCAGGATGGCCTCAATCTCCTGACCTCATGATCTGCCTACCTTGGCCACCCAAAGTGCTGGGATTACAGGTGTGAGCCACCACCCCCAGCCTTTATCCCTTTTCCTTCTCTGATACATCAAGGTCCTTTTCTCTCTGGGTCGCAGCCTTATCCTGTAAGCTTTCTCTTCCTGTCTTTCAAATATTTTTAATTCATAGAATAATTACAAGTGTGCTTCAAGGAACTCCTGTATAATCTTAACCTAGCCTAATTCACCAGTTGTTAACATTTGGCCACCACATGTGCTTTATCGCTCCTTCCCTCTCATTATAGATAGATGTTTTTTCCTGAACCATTTGAGAGCCGATTGCAAACATTCTGCCTCTTTACATTTACTTTGGAGTGTGTTTCCTTTGAACAAAAACATTTTTGTTTGTTTTACATAAACAAGTTATTGTTAAGGAAATTTAACAGTAATTTAGGAAATTAAACATTGATAACAGTACTTTTATTAATGATATAGTCCATATTTAAATGTTGTCAGTTGTACCAGTGATGTCTTTGTAGCTGTGTTAACCCCTTATCCAGAATCTGGGATCACACTTTCTGCCTCATCCTTTTCCGTACTCTCCTTTAATCTGAGAATTAAGATTAAAAGAAGTAAGTTCCTCAGCCTTTCTGTGTCTTTCATGCCATTGATATTTTTGAAGACTACAGGCCAGTTGTTTTGTAGAATATTTCTCAATCTGGGTTGGTCTGGTGTTTTCTTATTAGATGCAGGTTACATTTTGGGGGTGGGAATACCACAGAAGTAATGTTGTGTCCCCCTCAGTGCATGCACTGTGGCCAGAGGCACATGGTATCGGATTGTTCTACTACTGATGATGTCAGCCCTCTAAATCTTCTGTGTTGAAACTTTTCTTGTAGTTACATGAACTCTTAATGTGTATATACTTGAACTCTGACTATAGGAATTCTCCTGCTTATAGGAATTCACTCTTAAGCAGGCAGCATTCTATTAAGTTCTTCTGTTCAATCTCTTAGTTCAATCAGGTGAGCCCAAGTTGCCTCCCAGTTATTTTTCTCCTTTGCAGCGTCACTATCTGTGACTCCTGGGTTCCCATCAGAAGTCACAATAGCTTTTGTTTCTCCAAGTAAGTTGCATCCCTTAGCCAGACTCTTTGAATCAGTGATTACTTCTTATGTACGATCAGTATATTTTTAGTGTTTTATTGGTTTCAAGTTAAGGTTCTTTGGCTCTAGGAAGGTTAGTCTTCAAATAAATGGTTTCAGAAGAGAGTTGTGTAGCTGAGTGTGGCGAAGAACTAGGTACCCTCAAGTCAACTTGAATCATACCCAGGTTCATTTTATCCCAAATCACAGTCTTTTGAGCTAAGCTCATTTGGATTGAAGTATTTACTGCATGTCATTTACAATGTCTTAGCCTTCTGTATTCCTTAAAACAACTCTAGGAAGTAGATTTCATTTTCTTCATTTTTCAGATGAGGAAATGGAGGCTTGGAAAGGTTACAGTGATATGGTGAGAAATTATCAGGACTCAAACCCATGTCTCTCCAACTCCAAAGCCCTTGCTCTTTTTTGAGAGCAGAGAGTGGCTGGGAGCAAAGTCCTCTAGCTATTTGTGGTGAAGTTAGCCTTTGCAGACTTAAATGCAAAAGATAATGTCCGCCAGGTGTGGTAGCTAACGCTTGTAATCCCAACATTTTAGGAAGCCAAAGCGGGCAGATCACTTGAGGTCAAGAGTTGAGACCAGCCTGGCCAATATGGTGAAACCCTGACTCTGTCTCAAAAAAAAAGTAATGTCATTGCTAGATTGGAGGTGATTGCCAGCAGCTGCCACTCAGAGATTTCGAGGTGTCTTTAAACGAGGACCATCCTGGGCAACTGTATCTTATGTTCGGGACATCCAGCCTAGGAAAATCTAAATACTTGTACTTAAACCCATTTCCTGACATAATTATTAATAGTGCCCCACTCACTTTTTTTTTGAAACAGGATCTTATTCTGTCACCCAGGCTGGAGTGCAGTGGCACAATCTTGGCTCACTACAACCTCCGCCTGTCCCACGTTCAAGTGATTTCTCGTGCCTCAGCCTCCCAAGTAGCTGGGATTGAAAGCATGTGCCACTGTGCCCAGCTGTTTTTTATATTTTTAGTAGAGATAGGTGTCTCACCATGTTGGCCAAGCTGTTCTTGAACTCCTGGCCTCAAGTGATCCGCCCATCTTGGCCTCCCAATATGCTGGGATTGCAGGCATGAGCCACTGCGCCCAGCCAGCCCCACTCCCTTTGTTGTTGTTGAGACAGAGTTTTTGCTCTGCTCTGTCACCCAGGCTGGAGTGCAATGCTGTGATCTGGGCTCACTGCAACCTCTGCTTCCCAGGTTCAAGCAGTTCTCCCACCTCAGCCTCCCAATTAGCTGGGACTACAGACATCCACCACCATGCCCAGTTAATTTTTGTATTTTCAGTAGGGACAGAGTTTTTGTCATGTTGGCCAGCTTGGTCTCTAACTCCTGACCTCAGGTGATCTGCCCGCCTTGGCCTACCAAAGTGCTGGGGTTACAGGCATGAGCCACCGTGCCCGCCCCCACTCACTTTTGGAGTACTGCTGCTTGTCCAGGCATGGTGGCTCATGCCTATAATCGCAGCATGGGGGGAGGCCAAGGCAGGAGGATTGCTTGAAGCCAGGAGTTGAAGACTAGCCTGGGCAACATATTGAGACCCTGTCTCTACAAAAAAGAAAAAATCTACCTGGACATAGTGGCGCATACCTGTAGTTCCAGCTACTCGGAGGCTGAGGTAGGAAGTTTGCTTGAACCCAGGTTTAAAGGCTGCAGTGAGCAATCATAGTGCCACTGCACTCCAACCCCTGTGACAGAGAGAGACCCTGTCTCAAAAAGGGGAGGGGAGGGGGTATTGTGGCTTGGATAATTATATGGTCCTCTATCCATAATCCTTCCTGAATTCTTTTCACATTAACATGGAGACTGGTGTTTCTGTGTAATTAGCACAAATTGAGTTTGGTCTGTTTTTATTTACCACTTTCTTTGCCCCTGCCCCAATTTCTACTTTGGGGCAAAGTTAGCTTTGGTTTTATAGTCTAATGTATAAGCATGGTTTGCTTAGTTTAGTTAACAGCAAGATTTTACCACACCTGCTTTATCATCCTTTCTGCCAAAAAAAAACATTTTTTTTTTTTTTTGAGACAGAGTCTCACTCTTGCCCAGGCTGGAGTGCAGTGGTGCAATCTCAGTTCACTGCAACCTCTGCCTCCTGGGTTCAAGCGATTCTCCTGTCTCTGCCTCCCCAGTAGTTTGGACTATAGGCGCATACCACCACAACCAGCTAATTTTTGTATTTTTAGTAGAGACAGGGTTTCACCATGTTAGCCAGGATAGTCTCGATCTCCTGACCTCGTGATGCAACTGCCTCAACCTCCCAAAGTGCTGGGATTACAGGTGTGAGCCACTGTGCCTGTCCCCCTCCACCTTTTTTTTTTTTTGAGACAGAGTTTTGCTCTTATTGCCCAAGCTGGAGTACAATGGCATGATCTCGGCTCACCACAATCTCTGCTTCCCAGGTTCAAGTGATTCTCCTGCCTCAGCTTCCCGAGAAGCTGGGATTACAGCTAGCTAATTTTGTATTTTTAGTAGAGACGGGGTTGAACTCCCAACCACAGGTAATCTGTCTGCCTCAGCCTCCTAAATTGCTGTGATTACAGGCATGAGCCACTGCACCCAGCAAAATATTTAACTTAAATGACACTTTACCGCAATATACTTCCATAGCTGAAATAAGCTCTTAAGTCTTTATAAACCTATCCTGAAACCTAATCAGTATAGCAGAAGAACCTTTTGCCACGTGAATAATCACCCCTGACATAATTTGATTTTCATTTATAAGATTCTCTTAGAGCCAGGTACAGTGGCACACACCTGTAGTCCCAGCTACTCAGGAGGAGGCAGGAGGATTATTTGAGCCCAGAGTTCCAGGCCAGCCTGGGCAACATAGTGAGATCCCATCACTTTGAAAAAACAAAACTAGATTCTCTTGAAGTGGGGCATAACTGTATTTCTGTGCTAATGTGAGGCTCCACAGGTATGCAAGACATAGTGGCTCTGGGTTTTCTTATAACATATTTCCTTTTCTTTTGTCAGTGCACGATCTGATTTTCTGGCGAGATGTGAAGAAGACTGGGTTTGTCTTTGGCACCACACTGATCATGCTGCTTTCCCTGGCAGCTTTCAGTGTCATCAGTGTGGTTTCTTACCTCATTCTGGCTCTTCTCTCTGTCACCATCAGCTTCAGGGTCTACAAGTCTGTCATCCAAGCTGTACAGAAGTCAGAAGAAGGCCATCCATTCAAGTGAGTTGAACTCTTAAAAGCAACATTCTACGTTTTAGTGGAAGGGTTCACTGAGGCTGATAGGTATAAAACTCAGACCTGACTAAAAATCAAGAATTATGGGGCCTAATGCAGCTGATTGGTGGCATGAAGCATCCCCTAGAAACCTTGAAATCACCTTAAGAAGTGGCCAAGTTAGGAGCCAAGAACTTTTTGACAAATTAAAGGCTCATACTTGAAGTTCAAACAGGAAGTCCTTGAAGGGAGTCCTTCATAGAGGACTCTAAATTCTTGAGCAGGGCAGGGAAAGCAGAGCACCGAGAGCAGTGCTCAGTTAGACGGGGTCCCAAGTGCATGGTTTTATTTATTTTTTCATTTTTTTTTGGAGACAGAGTCTCACTCTGTTGCCAGGCTGGAGTGCAGTGGCGCGATCTTGGTTCACTGCAACCTTCCCTTCCTGGGTTCAAGCAATTCTCCTGCCTTAGCCTCCTGCGTAGCTGGGACTATAGGCAAGTGCCACCACACCCAGCTAATTTTTGTATTTTTAGTAGAGACGGGGTTTTACCATGTTGGCCAGGATGGTCTCGATCTCGACCTCATGATCCAACTGCCTCGGCCTCCCAAAGTGCTGGGATTACAGGCATGAGCCACCCTGCCTGGCCCCAGGTGCATGTTTAAACCCCAACATAAGTAAGGCTTGAAATGGCTTTGAATCTTGATGTTGAGTGTGTGCTGTTGGTAATACCAGAACTCAGTGTTTTCACTCTTGGTTTATTACTGATTTCCCCTTATCTCTTACTAGCTTAATATTAGAGCCTTAATTAAGCCTTAATGAAGTCAGTAGATCTTCTGACTACATTTCTAGTATACAATTTCTAGCTTTTCTGATTGTGCTCTAACTTTAACAAATGTTTTCTTCACACTTTCCTCTTGAAAATCTTACCCCATAAACAATGTTGACTTTAACACGAGCAAATGACAGTTTTTTTGTTGTTGTTTTTTGCCCACCTGCAACTGTCCTGATTGAGTTATAGACAGTTTTTAAAAAGTTGGTTTTTTTGCCGGGCGCGGTGGCTCACGCCTGTAATCCCAGCACTTTGGGAGGCCGAGGCAGGTGGATCACGAGGTCAAGAGATCGAGACCATCCTGGTCAACGTGGTGAAACCCCGTCTCTACTCAAAATACAAAAAATTAGCTGGGCATGGTGGCGCGCGCCTGTAATCCCAGCTACTCAGGAGGCTGAGGCAGGAGAATTGCCTGAACCCAGGAGGCGGAGGTTGCGGTGAGCCGAGATCGTGCCATTGCACTCCAGCCTGGGTAACGAGAGTGAAACTCAGTCTCAATAAAAAAATAAAGTTGTTTTTTCATAGAGAAGGAGACCTTGCTGTGACCTCTCAGGACTACAAAAGAATAGTTTTCTGGCCGCACCTATGTTGCTTATATTTTCTCTTGGTGGAAACAGAAGGAATAATTTACAACTATATGTGGCATTAAAAATGTTATTGTAGTTTGGGTGCGGTGGCTTACGCCTGTAATCCCAGCAGTTTGGGAGGCTGAGTTGGGCAGATCACTTGAGGTCAGGAATTCAAGACTAGCCTGGCCAACATGGTAAAACCTTGTCTCTACTAAAAATACAAAAATAGGCCAGCCGTAGTGGCTCACGCCTGTAATCCCAGCACTTTGGGAGGCCAAGGCAGGTGGATCATGAGGTCAAGAGATTGAGACCATCCTGGCCAAGATGGTGAAACCCTGTCTTTACCAAAAATAAAAAAATTACCTGGGTGTGGTGGCATGCACCTGTAATCCCAGCTACTCCAGAGGCTGAGGCAGGAGAATCACTTGAGTCCAGGAGGTGGAGGTTGCAGTGAGCTGAGATCACCACTGCACTCCAACCTGGTGACAGAGAAAGACTTCATCTCAAATATATATATGTGTACAAAAATTAGCCAGGCATGCTGGTGGGGGGCTTGTAATCCCAGCCACTCAGGAGGCTGAGGCAGAGAATCGCTTGAACCCAGAGGGCAAAGGTTGCAATGAGCCAAGATCCCATCACTGCACTCCCTCCATCTCAAAAAACAATAATAAATGCAAATTGTGTTTTTTGTTTTTTTCTTTTTATTTTATTTTCTTTATTTATTTTGAGACAGCATCTTGCTGTGTTGCCTGGGCTGGTCACTAACTCCTGGGCTTAAGTGATCCTTACACTTCAGCTTGCCAAAGTTCTGCATTTACAGGCATGAGCCACTGCAACTGGTTTGTTTTTTCTTTTTTCTTTTTTATTTTTTGAGACGGAGTTTACCTCTTGTTACCCAGGCTGGAGTGCAATGGCGCAATCTCGGCTCACCGCAACCTCCGCCTCCTGGGTTCAGGCAATTCTCCTGCCTCAGCCTCCTGAGTAGCTGGGATTACAGGCACGCGCCACCATGCCCTGCTAATTTTTTGTATTTTTAGTAGAGACGGGGTTTCACCATGTTGTCCAGGATGGTCTCGATCTCTTGACCTTGTGATCCACCCGCCTCGGCCTCCCGAAGTGCTGGGATTACAGGCTTGAGCCACCGCGCCCGGCCTGTTTTTTCTTTTTTAAGTAAAGGTCTTGCTCTGTTGTCCAGGCTGTAGTGCAGTGGCGTGATCACAGCTCACTGCAGCCTTGAACTTCTGAGCTCAAGTGATCCTCCTGCCTCAACCCACCACCCCACCCCAGGTAGCTGGGACTACAGGCATGCACTACCACACCCACCTATTTTTTTTTTTATTTTTTGTTAGAGATGGAGTTTTACTATGTTGCCCAGGCTGGTCTCAAACTCCTGGGCTCAATGATCCTCCTGCCTCAGCCTCCCAAAGTACTGGGGATTACAGGTGTGAGCCACAAATTAGTTTTAACAAGTCAATATTGTTGAATGAGTGGATAAATTTTACTATTTTGCAACAAGCTCTGGTATCTTACTGGTTTTTTTTTTACCCCCTTCTTTTGCTTGATAGTGTTGCAGACTTATAAAGTGTTTTGTTTGTCAAGCCTGTAATCACCCACCTTGGGAAGACAAGGCAGGAGTACTGCTTGAGGCCAGGAGTTGGAGACCAGCCTGGGCAACAACACAAGACTCCATCTCTAAAAATTCTTTTTCTTTTTTTGGGACAGAATCTGGCTCTGTTGCCCAGGCTGGAGTGTGGTGGTACAATCTCAGCTCACTGCAACCTCTGCCCCTGGGTTCAAGTGATTCTTCTGCCTCAGGCTCCCAAGTAGTTGGGGTTACAGGCGTCTGCCATCACACCTGGCTAATTTTTGTAGAGATGGGGTTTCACCATGTTGGCCAGGCTGGTCTTGAACACCTGACCTCAGGTGATCTGCCCACCTCTGCCTCCCAAAGTGCTGGGATTACAGGCGTGAGCCACCAAGTCTGGCCTAAAAAAATTTTTAAATTTATTTTATTTATTTATTTTGAGATGGACTCTTGCTCTGTTGCTCAGGTTGGAGTACAGTGGCACATAGTTTCTTTTAATTTTTTAAAAAATATATTCTAATTGTGATATAATAGCTATTTATAATAAAAGAATCTGTCTTTTAGTCAGTATTTAATTGCTTGGACATGACTATACCAAAAAAAGTCAAGATACTTGGACCTACATGTGTAATCGTCAGTACAAATATGGCTTTCCAAAACATTTTTTTAAAAAATAAAACAGTAAAGTTATAGTATAAACAAAATAGTTTTAGAAACTTTAGGATATATTCAAGAAACTTTAGGATATATTAAAATTGCTTAAAAAAATACCTTATTTTTATGTGTCTGGGCTCTTAATTACAAATACAAATGTGGTTTTCCAAAATGTTTCAAAAAAAAAACCTTAATGGGCGCTGTGACTCACGCCAGTAATCCAAGCACTTTGGGAGGCCAAGGTGGGAGGCCTGAGGTCAGGAGTTCAAGATCAGCCTGGCCATCATGGTGAAACCCCATCTCATTAAAAAAAAAAAAGACAGATTAAAAAAAAAAACCTTAAATTTTAGCATAAACAAAATAGAGTTTTAGAAATTTCAGGATATGTTAAAACTGCTAAAAAAAAAAAAAAAAGGTACCTTGTTTTTATATGTTCTGGGCTCTTAATTATAAATGGATTCACCTTAATGAATATACAATAAGGCAGTAAAAGTTACACCGAACAAAGGACAGTTTACTGTGCATGACTGTCCTACACAGACATCTCGCATCTTTGCCTCTGCCCGCTGGATGATAGTGTGTCCCCACTCCACCTGATGACAACAAAAAATGTTCCTACAGATTCTAAAATGCACCCTGGGCACCAATTTTACATTCTCAGTAACTACTGTGTTAACAAAATCTTCTTCCATGTCAAATGTATGACTGTTGTTTCTTCTTCTGGAAGAGCCTACCTGGACGTAGACATTACTCTGTCCTCAGAAGCTTTCCATAACTACATGAATGCTGCCATGGTGCACATCAACAGGGCCCTGAAACTCATTATTCGTCTCTTTCTGGTAGAAGATCTGGTTGACTCCTTGAAGGTTAGTTTGTTTCTGCAGCTTTTGGTTTTTACCCAGAGAGATCTGGAAGTAGGCACTGAAGGAACTGGAGTTTGTGGTCACAGGTTTATTAAATGGTCCTAATTATAAATTAAGAAATATCAAACAGAAAAAGCAGGACTCGGTTATAATACAGAGGAAAAACAGTATATAGGATTTTATCAGACAGAAATGAACATATGCTTATCTCAAGTCATTCTATAATGAGATAGGAGTCATTAGAGAAAGATACAGCCTTTTGCTGGGGAACAAACATCAGAACAGAGGTGATATAATTGGTAGCAGTGTAGTTTCAGTCTTTGGACCTAAGAGAACTACAGAATTCTCTCACTTACTTTCAAATGTATAACACAAGTAGGGAACCTTCATTTGAAGTTATCCATGTCACACATCACTAAATGTATCCAGATTTAATTAGCTGGAGGAGAATGACATCAGTTAATGTAAATTTTGCCTTATGGTTATTCCTGCATAACCGTTTGACGTTGGCCTTCACAGCTGGCTGTCTTCATGTGGCTGATGACCTATGTTGGTGCTGTTTTTAACGGAATCACCCTTCTCATTCTTGGTAAGATGGCAAGGAGAATGTGCCCAAACTATTACTCTTTAGTTTGTAAGAATAAGAGTGAAGAGAATGCCCAGCATGGCTCCAACTCATTGTGCATTGCCCAGTCCTGACCCAGAGAGATCTGGAAGTAGGCACTGGAGGAACTGGAGTTTGTGGTCACAGGTTTATTAAATGGTCTCAGTGATAAATTAAGAAATGTCAAAACAGCTGGTAGTAAAGGACAGTTGTCTAGATTTGGTTTAAATTTGTTTACAGAGATCATTTTGGTAATGCGGTAATTGTTATTTGTGGTACAAAGATGATAGCCTATATACCTGGAGAGGTGTTTTTTTGTTTTGTTTTAACACTACCTTAAATTAGCTGCCTAACTGGCCTTAATTGGGAGCTCTAACGAGGAGTTCTCATTTTAGGAATATTTGTGTTTTCTTGTATTTTGTGAGAATAAATGTATGTTACTCTGAGTCTTAAGACGTGACTGTCTCTCTTATACACTTGCCATGTCCCATGATTTTGTCTTACAGCTGAACTGCTCATTTTCAGTGTTCCAATTGTCTATGAGAAGTACAAGGTAAGCATTTATCTGTTCCAAATCAGATGTGCCAGTTGATGTGTGACTACTTTTAGTTCATTTTTGAGAGACTGAATTTCAGAGCAGTCTTTTTATAACTATTTCTACCGTCTAATTTTGTGAGGCAAATGCCTATTAGAAAGTGGTGGCATTAGTTTCCTCCAAGAAGAGAAACTGGATATTTAGGAGAGAGAGGACTAGGAAAGAGAAACTTTTTTTTTTTATACCTTGGATGCCTTTTGAGTTTTTAATCATGTGGATGTATTTTCTATGCAAAAGTAGTAAGTTGAAAAAATGCTTAGGCCAGGTGCAGTGGCTCATACATATAATCCCAGCACTTTGGGATGCTGAGGGCAGAAGGATCCCTTGAGTCCGGGAGTTCAAGACCAGCCTGGGCAACATGGCAAAACTCTGTCTCTACAAAAAATATTAGCCAGATGCAGTGGCCTGCACCTGTAGTTCAAGCTACCATGCTAAACCAGGAGAATCACTTGAGCCCAGGAGGCAGAGCCAAGATCATGCCATTGCAGTCCAAGCCAGGGTGATGGGAGTAAAACTCTGTCTCAAAAAGGCCAGGAGCAGTGGCTCACACCTGTAATCCTAGCACTTTGTGGGGCTGAGGCAGGCATATCACTTGAGCTCAGGAGTTTGAGACCAGCCTGGCCAACATGGTGAAACTCCATCTCTACCAAAAATACAACAATTAACCTGGTGTGGTGGCACACGCTTGTAGTCCCAGCTACTCAGGCGGCTGAGGCAGGAGAATTGCTTGAACTCAGGAGGCGGAGGTTGCAGTGAGCTGAGATTGCACCCAACCTGGGTGACAGAGCAAGACTTCATCTCAAAAAAAAAAAATGCTAGGCCAGGCGCGGTGGCTCAAGCCTGTAATCCCAGCACTTTGGGAGGCCGAGGCGGGTGAATCACGAGAGATCGAGACCATCCTGGTCAACATGGTGAAACCCCATCTCTACTAAAAATACAAAAAATTAGCTGGGCACGGTGGTGCGTGCCTGTAATCCCAGCTACTCAGGAGGCTGAGGCAGGAGAATTGCCTGAACCCAGGAGGCGGAGGTTGCGGTGAGCCGAGATTGCACCATTGCACTCCAGCCTGGGTAACAAGAGCGAAACTCTGTCTCAAAAAAAAAAAAAAAAAAAAAAATGCTTAAATGAATAAAAGCCAGGTGTCTAAAAGGAAACTTTGAACTCTAGGTTATTGAGGTAAATTCAGGTAATCCATCTGTATGAACAGGTGTTTGCATTGTTGGATGACGTGTATCAAGTACACCAGATAACTGTGAGATTATTCATTATGGATGAAGTCTTCCATCAGGAGACTTTTTGGCGTTTGGTATTAAGTGAATTAGTATTACACAAGAGCCGTAACAAACATGACCACAGAAAATAGGTTAGACACACAGTTTCTGGTATTTGGAAACTGTTATATACTCCAGTGTCTCTAAAGAAAATACTTAACAAGTAAGACTTCACCTCTGCAAAAGACGAGTGATTTTTTAAAAAATTTTTAAGAAAGTAGGGGGTGTTTATGGTGTAATTTGGATTCTAAAACTAGAAGTTTTAAAAATACTTTTAAAAACTGGGTATTTTCGTTTTCTAGACTAGTCAGTAGTGTTTAAAAAATGGTTAAACTAGACAAAAGAGCAATGCCTCCAGGAAAATTGGTGACCTGGTATGTTGCCACAACTGAATCTATTTTCCTTCCTTAAAGACCCAGATTGATCACTACGTTGGCATTGCCCGAGATCAGACCAAGTCAATTGTTGAAAAGTAAGTACATTGAAAGACCACAGCATCATGAGGTATGCTTTCTTCCCCCCAGTTATCTTAAGTACCTTGTATAAAATGCTGATTCAAGGAAAGTAACTTTCACTCTAATAAAAACCTTGGTTAATAGTTTCATTTTACTAGAAATTATTTATGGCTGCTTCTGCAAAAAGAAAAAAAAATCCTTTGTATCTTTCTTTTTTGGCCCTGCCTTCTGGACCTTTGTTATCTTAGATTAAAAATTATCGGCCGGGCGCGGTGGCTCAAGCCTGTAATCCCAGCACTTTGGGAGGCCGAGGCAGATGGATCACGAGGTCAAGAGATCGAGACCATCCTGGTCAACATGGTGAAACCCCGTCTCTACTAAAAATACAAAAAATTAGCTGGGCATGGTGGCGTGTGCCTGTAATCCCAGCTACTCAGGAGGCTGAGGCAGGAGAATTGCTTGAACCCAGGAGGCGGCGGTTGCGGTGAGCCAAGATCGCGCCATTGCACTCCAGCCTGGGTAACAAGAGCGAAACTCTGCCTGAAAAAAAAAATTATCGATAGGCCAAGCATTTTGATGCACACCTGTAATGCCAGTGCTTTGGGAGGCTGAGGCAGGAGGATGGCTTGAGCCCAGGAGTTTGAGAGCAGCCTGGGCAACATAGGTAGGCCTTGTCTCTATTAAGAATACAAAATTAGCTGTGCATGGTAGCATGTGCCTTTAATCCCAGCTACTGGAGAGGCTGAGGCAAGAGGATCAATGGAAAAAAAAGATAAGTGAGATTTTTTTTGGAAACGGTATCACTCTGTCACCCAAGCTGAAGTACAGCCTCGACCTCCTGGGCTCAGGTGATCTCCCACCACAGCTTCTCCAGTAGCAAGGACCATAGACTACTCTGCCTTTTTGAACTGGCTAAAATGTTCTTGGTTGCAGGTGGGTATGGTGGCTTACACTTTGTAATCCTAACACTTTGGGAGGCCAAAGTGGGGGATCATGAGGTCAGGACTTTGAGACCAGCCTGGCCAACACAGTGAAATCTCATCTCTACTAAAAATACAAAAATTAGCCAGGTGTGGTGGGCCGCACTTGTAGTCCCAGCTACTCAAGAGACTGAGGTGGGAGAATCGCTTGAACCCGGGAGGTGAGGTTGCAGTGAGCTGAGACCACACCATTACACTCCAGCTTGGGTGACAGAGTGAGACTTTATCTCAAAAAAAAAAAGTTCTTGGTTGCTTCCCCACATTCATTTTCATGTGTATTCATTTAAGCCAAACACATCCCTGTCAGAAACAAAAGTTCTAGTAAATAAATAACTTAAGGATCAAAGTCATCTTTTCTAAAATTGCCAAAATCACTGTTTCTATTTTTTTAAACCAATTAATAATTAAATCAGGTAATAACATATTGATAAACATCTTTATGACTCCCTGTATCAAAGAGTTGTTTTCTTCTTTTTACTTTGTTTTCCCCCATACCTGGAGGACATGTTTTTTTCTTTTTTTTTTCTTGCTTTTTAGAGCCAGGGTCTGTGTCACCCAGGTTGGAGTACAGTGGCACAAGTTGAAAGCTAATTGCAGTCTTGACCTCCCTGGCCCAAGTGATCCTCCCACCCAACCTCCTGAGAAGCTGGGACTACAGGCATGTACCATGCCCTGGCTAATTTTTTATTTTTTTGTAGAGGCAGGGGTCTCACTATGTTTCCCAGGCTAGACTTAAACTTCTGGGATTACCGGCATGAGCCACTGTGCCCAGTGTTTATTTTGAATTATTCATAGCAATACTGTGAACCTAACACTTTGAATTAAAATGTTAACATTTTTTCTTTTTCTTTTTTTTTGAGACGCAGTTTCGCTGTTGTTACCCAGACTGGAGTGCAATGGTGTGATTTCGGCTCACCGCAACCTCCCCTTCTCAGTTCAAGCAATTCTCCTGCCTCAGCCTCCCGAGTAGCTAGGACTACAGGCGCACACCACCATGCCCAGCTAATTTTTGTATTTGTAGTAGAGATGGGGTTTCACCTTATTGACCAGGATGGTCTTGATCTCTTGACCTCGTGATCCACCCTCTTCGGCCTCCCAAAGTGCTGGGATTATAGGCATGAGCCACCATGCCCGGCCCTTTCTTTTTTTTTTTTAAGATGGAGTCTTGCTGTCACCCAGACTGGAGTGCAGTGGCGTGATATCAGCTCACTGCAAACTCCGCCTTCTAGGTTCAAGGGATTCTCCTGGATTCACTTGCCTCAACCTCCCGAGTAGCTGGGATTACAGGTGTACATGACCACACCTGACTACTTTTAAAATTTATTTTTAGTAGAGACAGGGTTTCACCATATTGGACAAGCTAGTCTCGAACTCCTGATCTCAAGTGATCCACCTACCTCAGCCTCCCAAAGTGCTGGGATTACAGGTGTGAGCCACTGCGCCCAGCCTAAAATGTTAACATTTTTCATATTTTCTTCAGATACTCTTTAAAAGGCAAAGAACAGTTTAAAAATTGTTAAATCCCCTTTGTACCCCCTTGAGTTCCTTTCCCACCAGGCTTTAATGCTTTTTCCAGCTTTATAAGAGGAAATTTTCAATATACCCAGATAGGTCTAGCTTGATGCCAGGATCTTCACCTGCTTTTTGCTTTTTAAAAAAGTATACATTGATATTAAAGCCAGGTGGACAGTTAGCATAAATATATATATCTAGGCCAAGCACAGTGGCTCACGCCTATAATCCCAACAATTTGGGAGGCTATTGCAAGCCAATCACCTGAGGTCAGGAGTTCGAGACCAGCCTGGCTGACATGGCGAAACCCCATCTCTACTGAAAATACAAAAATTAGCCAGGCATGGAAGTACATGCCTGTAATCAGCCACTCAGGGGACTGAGGCGGGAGAATCACTTGAACCCAGGAGGGGGAGGTTGCAGTGAGCAGAGATCACGTCACTGCACTCCAGCATGGGCAACAAGAGCAATTTTCTGACAGTGGTCTAAAAAAAAAAAAAAGCAGAACTTCGCCTCAAAAAATAAAAATAAATAAATATATTCATTTATATATATTATATAATGCATATTATATAATTAGAATATATATATATATATTTATTTATTTATTTATATATGGAGGCCAAGGTGGGCGGATCATGAGGTCAGGAGATCGAGACCATCCTGGCCAACATGGTAAAACCCCATCTCTACTAAAAATACAAAAATTAGCTGGGTGTAGCGGCACATGCCTGGAATCCCAGCTACTCAGGAAGCTGAGGCAGGAGAATTGCTTGAACTGGAAGGCAGAGGTTGCAGTGAGCTGAGATCATGCCAGTGCACTCCAGCCTCGCAACAGAGCTAAATTGTGTCTAAAAAATACCTATATATGTGTGTGCATATATGTTTATATATATTTATATTTATCTGGTTGTTTTACCCGATTTGTGAAAGATGATCGTAGGTCAGCTTTAGATCTGATGTCTTTTTTCTTTTTTGAGATGGAGTCTTGCTCTTTCACCCAGGCTGGAGTGCAATAACGCTATCTTGGCTCACGGCAACCCTCTGCCTCCTGGGTTCAAGCAATTCTCCTGCCTCACTCAGCCTCCCAGGTAGCTGGGATTACAGTCGCCCACCACCATGCCTGGCTAATTTTTGTATTGTTAGTAGAGTCAGGGTTTCACCATGTTGGCCAGGCTGATCGCAAACTCCTGACCTCAGGTGATCCTCCTGCCTCGGCCTCCCAAAGTGCTGGGAGTACAGGCATGAGCCACTGTGCCTGGCCAGATCTGTGCCTGGCATATTTGACTGCCAGTGTTAGCTGATGTGTCACCTGCTATGGGATGTGACATTTGTGGAGAGAGTAGCCTTGACATTCACTGAGGGATATAAATGACCATAGTGATGCCTTAATGATTTCAGAACACCTTTGCCAGAATAAAAGGGACCTCTGGTGTCCTGTGAAGGGCTAGGAACCATTACCAGCTTCCAGACTTTTTGAGACAGTCTTGCTCAGTGCAGTGGCAGGATCTCGGCTCACTACAACCTCTGCCTCCCGGATTCCAGCAATTCTGCCTCAGCCTCCTGATAGCTGGGATTATAGGCGTGTGCCACTACACCCAGCTAATTTTTGTATTTTTTAGTAGAGACAGGATTTCACCATATTGGTCAGGCTGGTCTCAAACTTCTGACCTCAAGTGATCCACCTGCCTCGGCCTCCTAAAGTGCTGAGATTACTTATAGGTGCGAGCCACTGTGCCAGGCTGAGAGAATGCTTTTCACATTGCTTATGCAAGTCCAGGACTGTTCTCTAGCATCACTGTTAAAATAAAAACCTAGAACAAATACTTACATTTTCACTTTCTTTCTCCCCCTCCCCGCCCCACTTTTCTCAATAGGATCCAAGCAAAACTCCCTGGAATCGCCAAAAAAAAGGCAGAATAAGCACACGGAAACCAGAAATGCAACAGTTACTAAAACACCATTTAATAGTTATAACGTTGTTATTTGTACTATGAAGGAACATACTCAGTGTCAGCTTGAGCCTGCATTCCAAGCTTTTTTTTTTTATTTGGTGTTTTATCCCATCCTTTCCCTTTAGCCCTCAGTATCAAGCACAAAAATTGATGGACTAAAAAAAGAACTATCTTAGAACTCAGAAGAATAAAGAAAGAATCAAATTCATAGGATAAGTTAATACCTCAATGGTGGTGGAGCTTTTACCTGTAGCTTGAAAGGGGAAATATTGGAGGTAAAAGAGAAAATGAAAGGACACCTCTGGGTCCTTCTCTCCAGTTTTCAGCACTAGTCTTACTCAGCTATCCATTATAGTTTTGCCCTTAAGTTAAGAAGTAATAATTAACTTATGAAAAATTTATTTGGGGACAGGAGTATATCTTGTTTTTTTTTTTTCCAGCCCTCATATCCTATCTTCCTGTCCCACAATGTGAGCAGCTACTCCTGATATTCCTTTTCTTTAGTAACTTTCAACTTGAGGAGTAACTTATAGGTGATAGTGATAATTCCTGATTCTGATAATGCCATCTGATAAAAAATAGAAATGGAAAGTGGGACTGGAGAGGGAGTCGAGAGTGCTATAGTGGCCACCACGCCCTCTGCCGCTATCCCCAGGGAAGGGAAGTCTCCACCATTTGGGAAGGTGGTTTCTGTCACTGGACACCAGTTCTGAGCATTAGTTTGAGAACTCATTCCCGAATGTGCTTTCCTCCCTCTCTCCTGCCCACCTCACCTTAAGTTTAATAAATATGGTTGTACTTTTCTTACTATAAAATAAATGTCTGTAACTGCTGTACACTGCTGTAAACTTGTTAGAGAAAAATATAACCTGCATGTGGGCTCCTCAGTTATTGAGTTATTGTGATCCTGTCTCATTCTGTGGGGGGAACATTCTCAAGAGGTGAAATACAGAAAGATGATTCCCATTTGAGGCTAAGTTTTTTCTTCACTTTCAACATGAAAATTCCGCAAACTTGAAAGAAAAATCATCGGTGAGTTCCTTCAGGTTCTCACTCATAGTCATGATCATCGAGAGGGAATATGCACTGGTGAGTTTAAAGTAAGGGCTACAATATTCAATGGTCCCCAAGTACTGCAGCTGCAGAAAGCAGTGGAAGGAAATCTTTCTGCGCATTTTGGGAAAATGAGGAATGTGGATGAGTGAAAGGTACCCTTGCCTTACTGTCTTATTTTCCTAGCCTCTTCTGAGTGTTTTAACTGGTTTCCTGTCCTAGTAGGAAGTCCATCCTCCATCATCATCCTCTGCCCTCCCAGGAAGTCAATGATTGTCTTTTTGGGCTTCCCTCCAAAGGACCTTCTGCAGCGGAAGCACCACATCCAATTCTTTTCTTTTGTTGCTGCTGTGTTTAGATAATTGAAGAGATCTTTGTGCCACACAGGATTTTTTTTTTTTAAGAAAAACCTATAGATTAAAAATTACTAATGAAACTGTGTACGTGTCTGTGCGTGCAACATAAAAATACAGTAGCACCTAAGGAGCTTGAATCTTGGTTCCTGTAAAATTGCAAATTGATGTGGTATTAATTAATAAAAAAAAAAAAAAAAAAACAATGACTGTGGTATCATTCTGCTAACTTTATTCTTTATACACAGTTTGGGTAAAGTAAGAACCAAACACTGCTTCCATTCCCCCCATCCTCACTCCACTTTGGGGGCTTTAAAAAGTGACTAATAGTTGATACTGGTAAGGATTCCCAAGACTGCAGAATTTAGTTGTAGAGCATAACTGCATTTGATCTCAAAGAAAGTAAGAGACCCTCTAAGAGGTGGTGACCTTAGAATGAGGAGGGGTCAGGGGGTCTGTTATCCCAGTTCAGCCTCCCACCAGCCTGGGAGTTTTCCCCACCTATAACGTAAAGCAGCCTATAAATTACATATAGCCACAATGCACTTAACTTGAGTCAATCACCAAGGGAAATGGGAACTAAATATATCAGGTCTTCACTGAAAGAACTTGAGTGGTCACCTGTGATTAGCTCTTCTAAACTAAGGCTGCTGTGACCCTTAAGCTGGCTTTCAAAAATGTACTCAACATACCTCTTAGAAAACTTAGACTGAAATATTGTTTAAATGACTGATGCAAACAATTTCACAAATACACATACAAATGTTTGAATAATGTCACTAAGTAACATGGTATATAAATATGTATTCAGAGTAACATTTACATATTGGCCATAATAGCAAGCATACCGTTAACAAAAAGAAAAAATCATGAAGAGACTTCACCTGTTCACGTCAGAATCTCAAGGCAAGGAGGCATACCTAGGCAAGAGGACCAAGTCCCCTCCCAACCTCTATCTAACCTGTGAGGCCACAACCTCCATGGAAGCAGGAATCACTACAGCAGCCCTTCCCCATCACTGGTGCCCAGCACTGCAGCTGCATCAAGATCAATGAAGGGCTCATCGAAACACAGCTGAGTCCCCAACCAAGTTTCTGATTCAGAAACCCTGGGGTAGGGCCCAAGAATATTTCTAGCAGATTCCTAAGGTGATGCTGCTGGTCTCAGGGACACACTGAGAATCACTGGCGTGTTTGTTTGGTGCTGTCTCAGTAGAGATATCTACTCTGTCCTCCTGAGGCCTCTCCCTGCCTATGGAGGAGGAAAACCTCTCCTAACCCCTCTGCCCTGGCTTATCTGAACTTCGCAAGTGAACTTGAATGATTATAAATTGGTTGCCCCAATTTACCTACTGTTTTTGAGCCGGCAGAGTAAAAAAAAAAAAAAAAAAAAAAATGGTGTAATACTCATTCTGGATCCAAAAACATGCATGAAGAAAAGTAAATGGCAGTACGCAGCCTGGTGCCATCCATAATCTCCATTCTGAAGTTTTTAATACTGTCTCAAAAACCCTGGAGGTTCAAACTGAGAATTCACTTTTCAGGCAACTGACAACCCATTCAGGATCTTCCTGAATCCCTGGTGGCTTCCACAACAAAGAACACAAAGCCCCTGCCGAGGAGGTCTTGGGCCTCGCAGCAGCCGCCCGCCTCTAGAGTTCTACTGAGGGGAAGGGCCAGCTGATGGCGCCTTCCAGCTGAGGCCCTGCAAAGCTCAGCGTGCTCATCCCAATGCAGTGTACAAGGCTTTGCCACCTTCCGGAGTCAGAGCTCCACTGTGGTGGCCTACAGTGCCCAAAACGTCAATCCTCCAGCAGGCGTGACAAATTTTAATCACTGACCAGCGAATTGGGAAGCAGCGTGGTATGGTGCAAAGAACACTGGATGGGGAGCTGGGATTTTCATTCTAGTTCTTGTAGTGTCCCTACCTGGCTGTGTCATAATCTCGGTTCCTGGGCTCCAATCTACCTATCTGTGAAAGGGAGGAGGGTGGTACTAGTGATCTCCAGGGTCCTTCCCAATTCTGACAATCTTGAATTATATAAAAATGCTATAAAATCCGTGGTATAAAATCCAACTCCCAAACAGGAAGAGTCAAGGGGACTGGGCCTGAGGCACTTGAACCTTGGACTCTGGCCTTCCAGTCAGGGATGAGGGGCCTACTCTTTGCCCTCTGCTTTCCCGCCCCGAGGCAGGGGCTGGCCCCCACTGCCAGGACCTCTTCCTACATACCCAACCCTCAAGTCCCACCCACTGGCCTCCCCACCCCGACTTTAGGACCGAGGGAACTGTCCCTGCAGCAGCCTGGCTTTGTGAAGAGCAGACATCAGGGCCCAGAGTCTTCCAGGGAGTACATGTTACATCAGCACAGCTAGTTGGGGTCCTCCCGTCCCGGCCTCTGCCCTCGCTACTCCTTCATTCAGGTCCTCCCTTCACCACCTCACAGCTTATCTCTGATACACGCATAATAAATAAGACATTTGCACATAAGGGTGACTGGGTCAGCTCTGTCCCCGCCCCTCCCCCTTTTATATAAAAGCATTAAATACAGTTTCAAAATAAAATACAAAGAGCAAAAAAGGGCCTGATCTCGGGGCCACCGGTTCTCCACAGGAGAATGAATCTACACATCCCTCTCGGACCTGCCTGGGAGATCGAGGGGCCCCTTCCCTGCCCCATAGGGCCTGGCGCTGCTGCCGGGAAAAGAAGCCGAGGCCCGGCCCCAGGCCCTGCGGGCTGAGAACGGGCACCGCATCCACCGCGTACAAAAGGGGATGGGGACGGGGCGGGAAGAGAAGGCTGACTGCCGGGACCTCCTGTGCCCCGGGCTCCCACTGGTGGCACCCGACTGAGTTTAGGGATAAACAGGGCCCTCGGGGCAAGAGGAGCAAAGGAAAAAAGTGCTAATCCCTTTACAAGATCTGTCCGGGCGGTCAGGAGGAAGATGGGGCCGCTCAGTTCCTACTGAGCCTGCCGGGGAGGTTGGCACAGCTGGTCCGGCCCAGGCCCCGGGCGCATTGCCCCGCCCTCAGTCCAACAGACCCTCCCAGCCTGGGACGGCTCCCGAACCCCGCGGCTCCGCCTCCGGCTGGAAGCCCCAGTCTGCAGCCAGGGCCTCCGTGAGGCCGAGAATCCCAATTAGGGAAGGGCAGCCAACAGCCCCCGAGCCAGGAGCCGTGCCTGCCGGCGTGCAAGGCTGCAGGGAACTGGGCCCCCAGCCAGGACCAGGGCCAGAGCCGGAACATCCTTCCTATCTTCCGCGAGGCCCCCTCCTCCGGCCCTAATACTGATGGCGCCGCCCCCCCAGTCCCGGTCTGCGGAGGATTCCCTCGCGGGGTGCGGCCGGAGCGCTCGGCGCTAACACTTACTTGGAGGCCTAACACTTGGAGGCCGCTTTGGATTCGCGGAAAATGTGGGCCCTGCACGGGGAGGGCAGGGCTCGGGGCCGAGGGGAAAATGCGCTTCCCGCAGCGCACCGACTGGCACCCAAGTGGCACCACGCGGACGACAGCGGCCCCACTAGATGCCCCGTCTCCGCCCGGCCCGGCCAGCGGGGGGGGCGCGGCCGCGGGGAGCGCTGGCACCCGGCGCGAGGGTCTCCCAGCAGTGGGGCCAGGAGAGCCAGGGCAGGGCGGAGCGGGGCCGACCCGACCCGGGGACCCACGAGGCCGCTACGCCCGACACACGGCACCAGACTTGAGGTCCGCGCCGCCCTCACGCGGCGCCGGGGCTGGGGGCCCGAAGCCCTCGTGGCCGTAGCAGCGCAGCGCCGCCTCCTCGTAGGCCTCCAGGATGGTCTGGCGCTCCTCGGGCGTGAAGTCCATGGAGAAGGGGTGCACCTGCAGGATGTGGCGCTTGATGGTGCTCACCTTGAGAGTGGCCAGCGCGCCCCCGCACACCATGCACACCAGGCCGCGCCGGCTGCCGTCGTAGTCCATTAGGTACTCGCCCCGCCAGCGCGGCTGGTAGTTCCGCCGCTGCTCCCGGCTGCGGGGCGGTGGCGGCGGGGGCGGCGGCGGAGGCGGAGGCGGCGGCGGCGGCAAAACGAGTCCCCCGGGCTCCTGGCCATCCTCTTCGTCCTCCTCTTCCTCAGCCGGCCGCTCCAGAGGAGCCCCAGGGGACGGCGGGACGTCACCTAGGAAGGGACAAAGGGCCGCATTGGCGCCGGCAGGGGGCAGCAAGCTGGGCCCCACATCGCCTCTCCGTTCCCCCCTCACCCCCGCCTCTGCCCTTCTGCCCCATCCTCCAGTCCCTTCTTGCCCAGCAGCGCCCGACCCTTGCTCCCTGCCTGACCCGGGCCCTGCCCGGCGCTCCCTCTCCACCTGCTCTGGCCCCACCGCTCACCCCACGCCTCCTCCTCTGGCTCCTCCTCCTCTTCCCCTCCCCCCTCCTCGGAGGCTGCGGCCGTGCCAGGGGCGGCGCGCCCCCGCGGAGACTCGGGGCGGGGCAGCCCCAGGGCCAGCAGGTGGGCGGCCTTCTCGCTCCACTCCCGGGCGATGAGGGCCTGGAGAGGCCCGCCGAGGCGCGTGGAGCCCGGGTGGCGCCGGCGGATGTGGCGCTCGATGGTGCTCATCTTGAGCGAGGCCAGCGAGCCCCCGCACACCCCACACACCAGGCCGCGCCGGCCGCCGTCCAGCTCCATGAGGTACTCCAGCCGCCAGCGCTCCTGGGGGTGGCGGCGGTGGGTGCGGCCCCGCAGCGAACGGCCCGGGACCCCCGCCCTCTCGCCCTCGCCCTCCTCCAGCTCCTCCTCCTCCTCTGCGGGCCCGGGCCTCTCAGGGACCCAGCCAGCCTCTTCCTTTACGTCTGGGGGGCTGAGATCCTGAGAGGAGGGGGCTCCAGCAGCAGAGGCCGAGTCCCGGCTCTTTCTGGTCAGGTCCTGGGGGGCGAGGTCATCGCCTGTTGGGGAAGGGGTGAGGGATAGGGGCTCAGCCTGCTGGCTGGGTTGCCCTTGCCCACGCTGAGGGGTCCATCCTGGCTCCTCACCCCGGCCCCAACTAGGGACCCCAGGCTGTGCGTGTCTGGGGGCGGGGCGGGGAGTGTACGTGTGTGGAAAGCCAGCTCCTGGCCTTCCGCCCTCAGCCATAAGTCCCTGCCTCCCAGTTTTGGCCACAGACCCCGCCTCAGAGCCCCAATATGAGGGGGTCTCGGCCTGGGATGACCTCGCACCTGGTGGGGACTGGGTGAGCTCAGACAGCGCCTCGGGCTGGCCCCCCCAGGCCTGCAGCAGGGCACTGCGCTGGGGGCCGCTGAGCCCCAGGGAGCCGGGGTGCACCTCCAGCACGTGGGCACGGATGTCGTCCAGGTGCAGGCTGGGCAGTGCCCGGCCACAGGCCATGCACACCAGCCGGTTCCCCCGCGGGTCGTAGTCCATGAGACACTCGGCCCGGAACCAGTTCTGCAGGGACTCCTTCAGCCTCCTCTCCAGGCGCCGGGCCCCCAGCCCCCTGCTGCCCCCGGCCCTCCGGGAGGCTGAGAGGCGCAGACGCCGAGCCCGGGGTGCCATTGGGCCCCCTCGCCGCTGGCGCCGGCAGCCCCCACCAGCTGGGGCTTTGCCTGAAAGGGTTGGAGGGAAGGAACTGAGACGCTGGCCCCACGGGAGCACCCCCACTACCGCCAGGTCTCCCACAAGCCTCTCACTCACATGGGTCCAGGCCTAACCTTTGCCCTTCTCTTCCTGTCCCCTGAAATCCTAACTCCACCTCCCCAAACCCTCCGGCGCGCACACACTCCAAGCACCGCCCACACAAGTGGAATCTAGCAGGCCCGGCCTTCATGTCAGCCACACCTTCCCCAGCCAGGCCTACTCGCTCCAAGCCTTTCCGCTGCCCGTCACCCCACCTCTCTCCTTGATACTTCAAAAACCACAGAGCATCCAAGCTGTCTGGGCGGCGGAGTCCCCCTCACCCCACTGTTCTTCCCCACCTTTGTATAATAAGGGCAATACACAGACCCAACCCAGAGAAGGAGCAGTGTGTTGCTCGAGAACACCAGCTCCTTGGCGGCAGAGCAGCTGCCGCACGGGGCCCTCTGGCCTCCCAGACCCCTACCTCTCCATAATGTGTATTTGCATTACCTGGGCCCTTGGGCGGGCAAGCTGGGACACCGGCCCCCTCCTCCTCCTCTTCTTCCTCCTCCTCCTCCTCCTCCTCAGCCCCCTGGACCCCCAGGCCCTCGGCCTCTCCGCAGGCCCCCAGCCCCAGGTGCGCATCCCAGCTGTTGCTGATGACTTCCTTCTCCCGGGGACTCCAGTGCAAGGAGTAGGGGTGCTTCTGGCGGATGTGGCGCTTGATGGTGCTGAGCTTGAGCGTGGCCAGGGAGCTGCCGCACACCATGCACACCATGCCGTGCCGGGCGGGGTTGAAGTCCATCAGGTACTCCAGCCGCCAGTGGTCGTGGTAGTAGCGCCGGTGGTCACGGCCAGGGATGCGGCTCTTGCCAGGCCTCGAGGCCCGGGCCTCACAGTGGTCTGAGTACTTCCTGCCTGAAGATGCTGGTCCCCTGGCCCTGGAGGAGGGCAGAGGGGCACTCCCCCAGGACCCCAAGGCACCCCCTTCCAGCTGAAGATCTTGCCCTGAAGAAGGGGAAAGGGAGACAGTTTTTCACTCTTTGATTTCCAGGGAAAGAAGCGGGGGGGCTTCGAAGGTGGGCCGTGAGAAAGGGAGCTGGGGGAGGGGGTGTTTAAGGACAGGAAAGGGAGGCAACAGAAATAAAAGGGATGTAGGAGAAGCGGGGAGCCAACACATTGGCCCTTTACAAAGAGCAAGAGCCCTTTAAGAGGAGATCAAGAACAAAAGGATGCAGGTCAATGTGGAGCTAGCGCTGACTTTTTAAAAAATAAGGTGAGGGCCAAGGAACCAGCCAGCTCTGTAAGGTGCCCTTTCTGGGCAAGAGCTGTAGGGAGAAAGCCAGGAGAGCAGCAGGCCAGGGCGGTTACAGCCGGAGCAGGGCAGCAGTGGGGCCAGACAAACAAAGGGGGCATCTGTCTGCAGCCAGGGCTGCACACGGGACCCACCCGCCCGGGGCCCAGCCAGGAGGGCCCCACCCACAGGTCTTCTCCCTTCTTCCAGTAATGCTTCAAATACAGCCTCCTGAGAGTCCCATTTTGAGGATGGGCTAGGCATTGTCAGTTCCCCAAATCTAGGCCCCCACATGGAAGGGATCCCCAAGACAAAGCTGCCAACATCTCTGGGGAAAGGAGTTTCTGAGACCAAAACTTCTCCAGATTCTGGCAGAGCCGATGACCCTGAAAAGGGATAGCTGGAGGGCCACCAGAGTGGCGACTGATGGTACTGCTGCAGGGAGTGGCCACCATCCACTGAAGCCCGTTACGGCTGTCTGGGGCTTTATTTCTTGCTCTGGCAGGGAGCCGACCACTGCCCAGCAGTCAGAAGGGCGGGCACTGGAGAGGCCCCACTAACCCAATGGCATGCCTTGTGCCAAACACCCACCCAGGGCAGTCCCTACCCTCCCTACAGTTCCCATCCCTCTTGATTTAGAAAATGGTCTCCTGGGTGCACAGGCAGGTTCTGGTCATTCTCCCAGTGGAGAATCACAGGCTTGGAAAAACAAAAGAGGATCAGAAAGGGCTCCTGTCACCCCTGTGGGAGTTTTTTTTTTGTTTTAGTTTTTATTGAAGTAGATCCATAGAATCTACTGGCTTCAGAGTCATAGGCTCGGGTTCAAGTCCTGGCTTCACTGGTCACTTGCTCTGTGACCTCTGATAGGTCATGTCTGCCCTCTGGGCCTGAGCGTCTTTGTCTGCAAATACACTGGCTAGCTGGCTGGTCTCTGAGCATCGTTCCAGCGCTGGGTCCAGGCTAGTCTAAGGTGGATTGGCCCTTTAAGAGCCGAAAAAGGAGGAGGAGCTGAGGTTCTTTAAAAACAAAAGGGGATGGGGAGTTTCTGGGAGGGCAGAGACTGGGAGGGGAGCCCGGAGATTCGGGCAGTCTCCTGGCCTGGAGGAAACCTTTAAGGGTCTTAAGGCGTTGACCCAGCTGCCGGGAGATCAGGAAACAGTGTCCTCTGAGAACGAACGAGGAGGACTGGCTGGTTCCGCTGCAGCTGACAAATTAGGGCAAAAAAAAAATTCTGAAAAGCAGGGAAGAGAGAATGCACGGGCACGAGGGGTGTATGCTTTTGCTGGCGAACCCATCCCTTTAAAAATGGCCCGCGGTGGGAAAAGGTGCTGTGGGCCCCCAGGGCGCAAGCGATGCACTTTCCTAGGGAGAACGTGGATAAAAAAGAAAAAGGGTGCTTGTTTCTCACAAGGCCACGAGACCAGAGGAGCAGCCGATTTAAAACAGCGGAGCTCGGAGCTGAGCTCAGCTCCGCTGGGGAAAAGCCCCCAAAGGGGACCCAGAGCCTGAACGGACTTTTAAGAGACAGCCGGATAAGGGAGACCACCTGGGGAGTCTGAAGGAGAAAGGGGCGGGGGCCGCAAGTCCACCAGCCTCGCTCCGTGGCGCCTTACCCCGTAGGGCCCCTCGGACCTGGCACCCAAGGCGGGTCGCTGCGGGCGGCCGCGGGGCCCTTTAAGGGAGAGGCGAGCCACGGGAGTCCCGCGGGCAGACCCCAGGAGCTGGGCGGGGGGCTCCCCCGCTGGCCCTGCAGCCGCGCTCCGCGCCCACCAGGTGGCGCCCCCGGCCGCCCTGCCCGCGTCCCCCGCTTTGTTCGGCGGCGAGAGGGGCCCCGAGCCGCAGCCCTCCCCTCCCCCATGCCGGGGCCCCCGCCCGGGCCGCTGGCCCCAGCTCTTACCGCCTTCGTCCTCCTCCGGCTCCGCGACGCCGCTCGATCCGGCGGGCGGCAGCCGTCGGCCCCGTGCCGAGGCCACTGCTGGCCCGGGGCCGCCCCTGCTGCCGCTGCTCCGGCTCCGGTGGTCCCCGCCGGGCTCCATGCGCTGCGCCGAGGAGCGGGGCCCCGGGGCGGCGGGGCGCGGGGCCGCGGAGCCGGCGGCAGCCCGCGCGGAGCGCTCGGTGCACGGGGCCCCGGGGCGCGGAGCGCATGCACGGGGCGGCCGGCCGCACGGACGGCAGGCTGCTCGCTCGGCGGCGCGGGCTGGACCGGGGTGGGGATTCCTGTCTGGGGCCCCTGGGGCTCCTTTAAGGGCTCCTGGGTAAATTTAAAGGGGCCGCGCGCTATTTCCTCCTGGCAGCTCGCGGGGGGCTGGGGGGAAAGGCGGGAGGCCACGAGCCCAGCCGAGGCTCAGCAGCCGGCGCCTGCTCTGGACGCTAGAAGCACGGACCTCGCCGCCCCCGCGGGCCCTCACCGCCGCCTCCGGGGCTCCGGTCCCGGTTCCCGAAGGGTCACCGAGGTGGCGAGGGGCGCCCGCGTCCGCTGCGACGCACTTCCACCCGGGCTCGGCTCGCGGCCACCGCCCCCTCGGGGCATCTCAGCGCCGGGAACGCCCGCGGGGGAGGCCGGGGTCCTTGCCCGGGGCTGCCTCCCGCCGCTCAGGCGGGTCGCGAGCTGGGTGCGGGCCCCGGAGCAGTCGCGACTGGCAGGGGCCCCAGATGGCTGCGGCCCCGCCGAGAGGGTGGAGCCGTGGGGGCGGCCGCGCCCCCTCCCGCGGGAGCCGCCCGGGAGCGCTGGGAGCTCGGGCTTCTCATGGGAGGGGCGGACTGGCGAGGCTCCCTCGAGCCGGCCAGGGGTGGGGGCGGCGGCCGCGGCGACTCGGGCCGGGGAGAGGGGCGCACGGCAGACCCGCGGAGAGCCGGCGGCGCCGGGGCCCGACCCTGTGGGGCTGAGGTGGCCCCAGGATGGAAGCCGGGAGGAGAGGGCGTGCGCCGCGGTGACTCAGGATCCTGTCCCTACAGGCCTGGGGGTGCCTGACGAGGCCCTTGACGCAGCCCCAGACTCCCCGCCCGGCCCTGGGAGGCAAAGAATGCTGGCCCCGGGCGGAGTGTCAGGCACCTGGGGACGCGCGTTACCACGGCTGGGAAGCGCTGGGCGGACCCTGGCTGCGGGTCCCGGGGCGCCCCCGGGCCCCCAGCTCTCGGGAAGCGGAGCGCAGGGACCGGGAGAGGCAGCCGGGGCGCAGCAGCCTGGGGTCCTCCTGCTAGGACCGGCGGGAGGAGCAGGTGCTAGCTTTGCCTGAGGTTGGGCGCCCACAACAAAGGCGATTCCTGGAGATCCAAATTACAGGGTACGGGAGGCCTGCAGGGTCTTCTGGTCTGGAGGCGGGTTTTGTTCCCTCCACCGGGGAGATACCCAGCGGCCGCCGATGGCAGTTGGTCCGCTTCTCACCACCTACTGTGTGCCCGCATACTTTCAGAAGCTGGACACGCGGCAGTGAACAAGGCAGGCGGGACTGATACTGCCTGTGACTTCTTTTCAGAGGCACCCACAGCCTCTGTAAAGGAAACCGCTCCAGCCTTTCGGGATCCATGGGAATTAAATTACTTGGAACACAGGAAACCTGTCCCCGAAGTGTTTGTGACAAGGAATTAAGATTTCTTAAGTGCCGCGGAGATGTCCCATCTCTTTCTCAGCCCCCATGATGACGTGCACGAGACTCCACCTTGGGTAAACTGAGTCTCCGTTCCTCATCTCTGCTGTCTTCGCGGCAGCCCTGCGCTGGGTGAAGACGGGGGTTGCACTTCTCACCCACTTGGAGGCAGAGGCCCTGATGCTGACGGGTGCCACGCAGGGCCGAGGTATGGGGGATTCCTTCATTCGTGATATCCCTCACCTGTGCCAGGCCCAGAAACGCAAAGGGAAAATGAGACAGAGACCTGGGCGTCACGCGCTTCTTCTAAGTAGAATGGTTTGAAAAGAAAAGAAAGGAAAAAAAGCTAAAAGAGTCTGTCCTGTAATGAAAGAAGCCTGTTCTGGGGCCAGGGTCCGTGTGCTTTATTCTCGTTTACTTGCTCAGTACACAGAGAACCAATGCGGAGGGCCAGCCCCTGTGTGACTCTGGCTTCTGTCCTTCCAGTGCTCTGTGTATAAAGAGGGTAATGTTATTACCAAAATAAAGGTATCAAAACCACCCGGAGCCATTTTCAACAACCTCCCACCCACATTCTGCAGGACCTCAGGAACGGCTGCAAGCTCCGCGATTCTGAAAGTTTCTCACTCACTGCTTGATACTGCAGCAGCCCCGTGAAGCTAGAACTTTGTTGTCGGGATGAAGAAATGGAGACGCAGAGTCAAGAGCTTTGCACAAGGCCATTCATTTATTTATGCACTTCTTTTCTTGTTCAGAAAGCAGTCCTAAGTGCTGAGAACCGGGCTGGGGGTGCAGAGACTTAAAAATAACATAATGCAAGGCCGGGCGCGGTGGCTCACGCCTATAATCCCAGCACTTTGGGAGGCCGAAGAGGGTGGATCACGAAGTCAAGAGATCGAGACCATCCTGGTCAACAAGGTGAAACCCCGTCTCTACTAAAAATACAAAAATTAGCTGGGCATGATGGTGCGTGCCTGTAATCCCAGCTACTCGGGAGGCTGAGGCAGGAGAATTGCTTGAACCCAGAAGGCGGAGGTTGCGGTGAGCCGAGATCGTGCCATTGCACTCCAGTCTGGGTAACAACAGCGAAACTCCGTCTCAAAAAATAAAAATAACATAATGCAGTGGTGGGGGACTCCAACCCCACTGGGGGAAGGGAAACCAATGGCAGTCAGTCAGGGCCACATGCCAACCTTCTCAGGCCTTACGTGCTTTTGTCTTCATGGGGTGTCTTCCTCTATTTAAAAAATTAAAATTTAATTCAATAGATTTTCATGGACACTATGCATTTTTTTAATGTAAGAAAAAACGTCTTCGACTCTTACTTTTTTTTTTTTTTTTTTTTTTTTGAGACGGAGTTTCGCTCTTGTTACCCAGGCTGGAGTGCAATGGCCTGATCTCGGCTCACCGCAACCTCCGCCTCCTGGGTTCAGGCAATTCTCCTGCCTCGGCCTCCTGAGTAGCTGGGATTATAGGCACGCGCCACCACGCCCAGCTAATTTTTTGTATTTTTAGTAGAGACGGGGTTTCACCATGTTGACCAGGATGGTCTCGATCTCTTGACTTCATGATCCACCCGCCTTGGCCTCCCAAAGTGCTGGGATTACAGGCTTGAGCCACCGCGCCCGGCCTTTGACGCTTACATTTTTTAATCTAATTTAAAAATAAAACATTTTCAGGCCGGGCGCGGTGGCTCAAGCCTGTAATCCCAGCACTTTGGGAGGCCGAGGCAGGTGGATCACGAAGTCAAGAGATCGAGACCATCCTGGTCAACATGGTGAAACCCCGTCTCTACTAAAAATTACAAAAAATTGGCTGGGCACGGTGGCGTGTGCCTATAATCCCAGCTACTCAGGAGGCCGAGGCAGGAGAATTGCCTGAACCCAGGAGGCGGAGGTTGCGGTGAGCCGAGATCGCGCCATTGCACTCCAGCCTGGGTAACAAGAGCGAAACTGCGTCTCAAAAAAAAAAAAAACATTTTCATGAGCCCCTAAAAGTAAGTTGCACTCCAGGCACCAATGCCTCCAGTGTCCTGGGACACCAGCACTGACTGCAGTAAAGAGTGATAAGAACCAAGGCAGAGGGAAGCTCCGGGAAGAGTCACCCAACCTGGAAAGGCTTCCTAGGGAGGACATTGTTTAAACCAGGACTCCAAAGACCAGGAGGTGTGGCCAGGAGGAGAAAGGAAATAAAGCTTTCCTGGCAGAGGCTGGGGAAACTGAGTGAAGGAGGGTTTCAGGTGGGAGAGGCAGAAGAGGAAATAGAAATTAGCAGGCACTAAAGCTTTAGGTACCACATGTAGAGTCTGAGTTTGTCCTAAAGGCACTGGGAATGCTCAGAATTGTGGACAATTATGGAGGCAGCTGGGAGAACCCTGGGGAGAGGGACAGCAACAAAGACCCAGGTCAAGGCAGCAGCCCCAGGGCTGATGGAGAGGAGGCAAAAGATTTGAGCGGGGCCACAGCACATCATGGTGTAAACTTCACTGCACGGAGGAGGAAGAGAAGGAGAAGGCGGTAGCAACTGGAGGATGAATACCAGCTGAGGGGGCGGCAGGAGGAGGAGGGGGAGGGGGAGGAGGAGGCAACTGGAGGATGAATACCAGCAGACCCAGGAAAAAGGATACTTCTATCAAGGGGCTATTTCTTAGCTAAGTGATATACCTAAAAGTTGCTTATGCCAGGCCAGGCCTGGTGGCTCACCACTGTAATCCCAGCACTTTGGGAGGCTGAGGCGGGTAGATCATGAGGTCAGGAGTTCAAGAGCAGCCAAGATGGTGAAACCCCATCTCTACTAAAAATACAAAAATTAGCTGGGCAAGGTGGCAGGCGCCTGTAATCCCAGCTGAGCCAAAGAATTGCTTGAACCCGGGAGGCACAGAGGTTGCAGTGAGCTGAGATTGCGCCACTGCATTCCAGCCTGGGCAACAGAGCAAGACTCCATCTCAAAAATATGAAGTTGTTTATGCCTGGGGCAGGGTTTGGGGAGTGCTGAGGGGTAGTAGTGGTTCTAGCTTGAGCCATATTAAGAAGACAGAATTGCAGGAGGTGGTGCCGGCTTGAAAGTAATGATCCAAGAAAGGCCCTGCTAACTCCCAAGTATCTGGATTGAGAGAACGGGGAGAAAAAAAGAAAAATCGATTTGGAGGTAGAAAATGAGGTCACAGGTCAGGTGAGGTGGCTCACACCTGTAATCCTAGCATTTTGGGAGGCTGAGGTGGGTGGATCACCTGAGTCAGGAGTTTGAGACCAGCCTCCTTGGCTTCCCAAAGTGTTGGGATTACAGGTGTGAGCCACCGTCACTGGCCTGACTTATATTGCTTCTGGATATGTGGGCAGTGAAAGAGTCAGAACCTAGATGGCAATGATAAGCAGCAGCTTCAGGAAGGTTTAACTTGGGGAAGGAGGGAGGAGAGCCTCCCTCCATTGTCTAAGCTGGTCTTGAACTCCTGGGCTCTAGTGATTCTCCAGCTTCGGCCTCTGATATGGTTTGGCTGGTCCCCACCCAAATCTCTCCTTGAATTGCAATAATCCCCACATGTCAAGGGTGGGGCCAGGTGGAGATAATTGAATCATGGGGGCAGTTCCCCATATTGTTCTCGTGGAAGTGAGTAAGTCTCATGATATCTGATGGTTTTATATATGGGAGTTCCCCTGCATAAGCTCTCTTGTCTGCCACCATGTAAGATGTGACTTTGCTCCTCATTTGCCTTCTGCCATGATTGTGAGGCCTCCCTAGCCATGTGGAACTGTG